ATTTTTGTTGCCATGCAAAGTTGCAAACCTTTCATATTCTAAGGATTTATGACTGAAGTTGTTATTAATAGATATGGAAGTTCAATGGTCAAGAATATTTGACATTATAATGCATGTCAGAATTTATTATTCATATTGATAAGAAACCAATACTAATTAAAGGTCAATAGATTTTTTGAAGGGGGAGTCAAGGAGTCGACAATTCACCATCTGTTGTTTACAATCATATGACGGGGGGGGGGGGCAACGAATGTGATCAACAAAAGTGGAGGGGGGGCTCCAGAAAATTTATATCTAAAAACTGTCATGGCCCTCCCCCTCCTGTAAGTAAATTATAAATGCCCCTATTAAACAGGCACAGTTTATCCCCAGGATAAACCAAAAGGATATCAACATTCAGGTAATAGTGGTTATTTAATTGTTCACCTTTCTGCTATACAGTACGATTTTGTACTGTAATATGATTTTTGTCTTTAAACTTTACCCTGTACCCAAGGGCTTTGTCAATATTTTGTTCTGTCAACCTCATGGGAAGCAGAGGAAAGTGAATTATAAGTGCAAGGGGCATAATATAGATATTTACACTTTCCATTAATGGCATCTTTCCAACAACAAAAATATGAACAAAATATATATAATAAACATTTAACAATTTGAATACTAACTAGTGACTACAGTTCATACAATGAGACAGTCAACTTCTGTGAAAATATAAATAACCACGCGATATTGACCAAGTTACAAGTTACACATAATTTGATTCTTTCAATTGATTTTACACCAGCGACACTGGTCGAATAGCAGCTGATACAATCACAGATCCAATTTAATAAATATATACGTGGAATATCATATACGTACATTTTGCATAAGAATTCCTTTAGAAAATTCGGCAATATACAGGGTGTCTCAAAAAAACCCAAAATCATTGAAATAACGTATTGTTCGAATTTCAATGCCGTAACACAAAGGATTTTGACAGGGTGATTAATTTGTTTTAAAAAATTAAAATATCTTTGTAAAGTGAACGTTTGTTTGCTCATGGGAATTTAAAAATGCTTCGTAAATTCGTGGGTTTAGTACTTTATGCCTGACATATTACAAGTTTACGCTGAGTATTACCATTCATTATAGCAGTTATGTCAATCTTTTATGCACTCGTGGGATTAACTTAGTGCTAGGGCATTGAATATCGAACAATACGTCAATTTCAATGATTTTGGGTTTTTTTGAGACACCCTGTATAATAATTATTATATTATTATATTTGAGGTAAAAATACCAAGTCCAAAATCACGAACAAATATACACCAAACTGTTCAGTGTTGACTCCTTGGCTTAGAACTTGCAAATCACACTTTCCCAACATTACATAAGGCAATAGCACCTGTAATTTTCCATCAAAATTCTTCTTTAAATACAATTTTTACTGTAAAGTCTGTAAAATACTCACAAAATTATATTAAAAATTTAACAAAAAATTATCGAAGTAAACTAGAGCCCACTCCCAACGCGAAGGACAAATCCATTATGGACAAATCAGGACAGTTTGGGAATTTTGCTCAATCTCGTACCCAGAGCCACTCAACGATGGCTCTGGGTACGAGATTGAATTTTGCTAGGCCTTCTCGCTTCTCGCCTCTCCCCAGTATCCAAATAATACAGTTTTCTCCCGGTCAACCTGCAAACCTTAGCGATTTCCCCCTAAAATAACGAGGCGGAAGCGAGAAGGCCAGGACACAGAATAGGAAGTTATACCAGAAGCGTAACTCGAGCAAATATTTGTCCGCGTTTTTACAAGCGATTCGTCATCAATCACGCCATCCTGGCTAGTACAACCGGCACTTTGTACCTACCATATCCTGATAAAAACTTCCGGCTGTACTAGCCAGGATGGCGTGGCCTGACGTGAGCGAGTTAAAATTTTCGTGGACGTCAAACAATAAGGGAAACGACTAGAGTTACGCTTCTGGTATAACTTCCTATTCTGTGGCCAGGAACTAGGCTGGAGCTGCCTATAAAACTCAATTTCTCCTTTTCACTATGGCGGCCTTTCGTGGAGTGGGCAAAATGTTTCAAACAATTTCGTTAAAATTTTCAACGAATTGTACCTCCTTTGTATAGATTTTGCACGGTGTCTAACGCTGGACATTCTTGCTAGTTTATTTAATGCGTTTTTCTTGGTGCACGACTCTGAAAATCCGAAATTTGGATCGTTGAATTCCCGTGCACGATCATAATATACTGAATCTGAATATAAACGAGCCAAAGACAATTTCAAGATAAAAGGTTTAAACTTAAACTACACAACGAAGTTTTAATAGATAACTACTTTATGAGAAGCATATTGGTGTCATATCAATATAACATTTATGTAACAACAGTCCTTAATAGTTAGCTGCATGTGGAGGCGTGAAAACTATAGTGTGAAATATGATATGATATTGTATTTGTAATGCCTAATGGCGCAATATGATAAAAATACCATCGTTCGATTCAGCGTAAGAAATTGTACTTACGGATGTCAAATATATTACTGCACAAGAGCATTCCAGCGATTTATGGCCTTTGAAAATCAAGCGAAATTGTATTGTTGACAAATCGCTCGCAGTACGTACGTATTGTTGACAAATCACAGACACAGTAATCACTCGCAGTACGTTTGTCCTTGTATTTGTTATGCCTAATGGCGCAATAAGGATAAAAATACGACCGTTCAATTCAGCGTAAGAAATTGTACTTACGAATGTCAAATGTATTACTAAACAACAGTATTCTAGCGATTTATGACCTTTGTCTTTGAAAACCAAGCGAAATTGTATTGTTGACAAATTGCTCAAAATTATTAAACTATAAAGGCGCACGCGCGCCATCATGGCGTTCAGTCGGGGATTTTTGTGCTCCCGCAATTTATTAATAATTTTGTATATTTATTTGATTTTAAATGGTTCAATTGTCAAAAAGCAAAGGGAGAAATGTTTATCTTGTACCAGTTCAATTTTATACGTGTCAGAATTACTCGCTTGCTCAAGACCTGTCTATAATGGAAATATGCGAAGAAAAACCGTTAAACATAAACCGTTAGGAAACTCGATGTACTTCCTCCTTGGATCAAGATTGTTTATAAACACTTCTATTGCTATCATTCTTCTACGTTTATCTGGTGATATTGAAAGTAATCCTGGTCCTGTGTTTGAAATCCCTGGTTGTTTAAAAAGGGGGCTCAAAGTAAGTCATCTTAATGTACGAAGTTTACTTCCGAAGATTGATTTGGTACGCATGTTTATCAGCAAGAATCCATTTGATGTTTTTACCTTATCTGAAACTTGGCTTAAACCTACAGTTACTGATGCAGAAATTAACATACCAAACTATCTAATTACTCGTCAAGACCGTAAAGATAAAGCTGGTGGCGGGACAGCTATTTATGTCAAGGAGAGTTTACCATATCGAACACGTGATGATTTATGTAGTAAAACAATTGAAACATGTTGGATTGAGATTATACGACCTCGTAAGAAATCAATGTTTATTTGCTCTGCCTATAGACCGCCAGAACTTCCACTAAGTAAATTTATCGAGGAACTAAACAAAGATCTTGCCAAAATTCCAGAAAACGCAGAAATTGTTTTATTGGGTGATTTCAATGTCGACTACAAACAACGCTCAACGGATAGATCGCGCATGCAAACACTTGCGCGAGCTCACTCGATCGAACAAATCGTTACGTCACCAACAAGAATTACGGAAAAAACGCAATCAATGATTGATTTGATTTTTGTGAACAATAATCCACGCGTTGTTTCTAGCGGAGTTTTTCCTTTGTCAATCAGCGATCATTCCCTTATATACTGCACAATTAAAGCCGGACTTCCTAAATCTGGCGGATGTTATAGGGACATTAATTATCGTTGCTACAAACATTACAATGAAGGCAAATTTAGAGACGATGTAGGAAAATCAGATTGGACTTTCATTGACTCGTTAAATTGACTCATGAAATTATCAATAAGTTTTGCGAAACATTTTGTGAATCGGCCAATAAGCACGCCCCTATGAAACCCAAGAGAGTAAAATCTATCGTAAGAGCACCATGGATGACCCCTGAACTTCTTAACCTCATGCGAGAACGCGATTTTCATTTAAAACATGCCCAAAAGTATAATTCAGAATACCACTGGAATACCTACCGCGATCTTAAGAATTTCATAAACCAGCAAGTTAAGATATGTAAATCCAACTACTATCAAAATCTGATCAATGACAACAGAGAACCTGCTGAACTTTGGAAAACAATTAATGAAGTCACTTCTCGCAATCCAACTAAAACCACTCCCTCCTGTATTATCAGTGAAAACGCCCCGGTAAACGACCCACGTTCCATCGCAACAATCATGAATGACTATTTCTCATCTATAGGATCCACACTTGCGAACAAAATTAAAGATCTAATCAAACCTAAACCGACTAAGACCACCGCTACATCACCCCATTCCTTTAATTTCAAAGAAGTTGATGAAGTGTCTGTGTTGCAGGAACTGAGTAAGTTAAGAACTACCAAAGCCACTGGTCTGGACGGAATTAGTGCTAAACTACTTAAAGATTCCGCCTATATAATCGCACCATATTTGACCAAAATTTTCAACCTCTCCTTACGCTGTGGCTCATTTCCCGACATCTGGAAGAAAGGTAGAGTTACTCCAATTTTCAAATCTGGAGACCCAACTTCATCCAACAACTACCGACCAATCACCATCCTACCAACCTTGAGTAAGTTACTAGAACGAATCGTCCACCATCAAGTTTACAATTATCTGCAAGAACACAAGTTACTAGCTTCCCAACAATTCGGTTTTAGCTCCAAACTGTCAACCACCATTGCTCTGGCACATTTTACTGAGCAGATACTGGATAATCACGATCACAGAAAAATCACTGGTGCCGTCTCTATCGACCTAAGGAAAGCTTTTGATACCGTAAACCATACCATCTTATTGGAGAAATTGAGAACAATCGGTTTTACCTCGTCTGTTCTCGACTGGTTCTGCTCGTATCTATCAAACCGTACCCAAGTAACCGTGATCAACAGTTCATTGTCGCAACCCAAGCCAGTAACTGTCGGAGTCCCTCAGGGAAGTATTCTTGGACCACTTCTCTTCCTTACTTATATTAATGATCTACCTGAATGCTTGACCCACTGCAAGTCGATACTTTATGCCGATGACACACTCCTTTATTACTCTGCAGAAAGTATTTCCGATCTACAGTCAAAACTCAACTCCGACCTACGATCCCTTTCCGATTATCTTAACAACAACCTCCTTACACTCAATCATGACAAGACAAAGTTCATCATTTTCGCCGGTAGACAACGCCTAAGATCCATCTCTAACATCAACATCTCTATTTGCAATCGGACGATAAAACAAGAACAATCGTTAAAATATCTGGGCATCACAATTACCGAGAACCTTACCTGGCATGAACATATTGAGAAATTAATGGGGAAAATCAACCAAAGATTGGGATTGCTGCGCCGTGTGAAATCTTTCTTACCGCTGGATGCAAGACAGATTTTCTATACTTCGACAATACTACCGCTATTTGACTATGCCGATGTAATTTGGGCGATAAAAACAATTCAGAACTCATGAACTCCTTGCAAAGTTTGGAAAATAAAGCAGCTAAATTAATACTAGATCTCCCTCCTCTTTCGTCGGCAACCGAAGCTCTCGCTACATTACACTGGTCAACTCTCTCATCTCGCAGATATAAACATCGTTGTATCTTTATCTACAAATACACTAATGGACTGATAGATTTCGACTTCAATCTCACAACTAACAGCAGAATCCATTCCCACAGTACAAGATCGTGTAACAACCTCCATCTCCCGAAAGTCAACACGAACTGGGGCAAACATAAACCAACCTACCTCGCTTCGAAAGACTTTAACAACTTGGACGTTTCCGTCAGAAACACTGACTCTTTGAGTCAATTTAAGTCCTTACTAAGGTCACATACCATATAACTATTCTTAGCTGTACTTATTAGATATAGTTAAATATTCGTTTCTTTATGTCGTGACGTTGTATATTAATTGTATATATTTACATAAGTAAATTTTGTTAATGATTGTATCATGCAGGACCCCACTGAAAAACACATTAGTGATGTGGGTATCCTGGATAAATATAATTATAAATAAATTCCATGCCACATCTCATCAATAAATAAATTCTTTTGGTTCGAGTATCTAGATATACTTTCATAACAATTAAATAAATGAATAACCACATTGTTCGGTCTAGATATATATATTTTCTTGTACTGCTTTATTATATTGCCACGCCGTCCACGCGTGCTTTCTCAGTGACAAGTCTATAAGTTGAAATCTGATCCAATTTGCTTGAATTGTAACTCGACACTAGATTGTAGAGTAGAAAGTCACATCACGATAAATATTAATTTTTAATTGCAGTTCTTTTCACGAATAATCACGATTTCTTTGAAGATTCAATGGTTCAATTGTTTATATTCATAGAGCGATCTAATTAATTGTCACAATATATACTCACTCCCCCGACCCTAGTAAACAATACGCCATTTTACGCAAAATCCGCGGGTCACGTGACCAGCCCATACCAGGGTATTTCGCTTCCCAAGAGCAAATACCCTGGGTACGAGGTTGCTGATAGCCCTGGCATTAACGAAAAGGTCGCCCAACTGAATAACCTACTAAAGGGTCTCTGTGAAGCAAGAAACTTGGGTATAATAAGCCACGAAAATATCGATGAAAGAGGCCTAGACAGATTTGGCCTGCACCTTAATAGGTCAGGTAGTGGTATCATGGCAAGAAACTTAATTAACTGTATTCAGCATCTTTAGCAATTCTAAATTAGATATCTTAGATGACCTGAATTCCAACCAACCCATGGCAAATATTAATTTAACCGACAACCCTTTTAGTCTAATTCCAACAAAGGGTCTGACTTTCTTCCATTTAAATATTCAGGCTATCACAAATAAATTGGACCAAGTTAAGTTTATGATTTCTGAATCCATAAGGCATAGGAAGAAAAGCAACATTATATTTTGTTTCTCTGAAACTCATTTAAATTCTAACTGGTCTGATGACGAATTGCAAATTAGAGAGTTCAACTTCATTAGGAAGGACCGAACTTATGCCTCAGGTGGAGGTATTCTGATTTATATCCCAGAAACAATTCATTTTCAATATCGCAATGATTTCTCGTTACAAGAAAATAATTATCCGCTTGAATTTATTTGCTTGGAATTTAAGCATCCTAATTCAAAACCCTTCCTGATGGCCATTATGTATCAACCGGGAAATAATACTCTCTGGAGAGATAACTTAAACTATGTATTAGACATGGCTGACAATGAACACAAAGAGATAATTGTGTTAGGGGACTTAAACACAAATTTTCAAGATAAACATTCTTATCAACAACTTCATGTTCTAACATCTCAGTATCAGCTTAAACAACTTATTGATGCAGTTACCAGGCCAATATCACGTAAAACAATTGACCTTATCTTTACCTCTAAGGAAGATAATGTTATTAAATCAGGCGTGCTAGATGTTGGGATGAGTGACCATTTGCCAATTTTTATCTCTAGAAAAATTAATTCCAGGATCTCAATTAAACAAGGTTTACATACAACGATTAGTTATCGCAGGAAGAAAGATTTTATTGCGAGTGATTTTGACAATGACCTTGTTGAAGAAATCCCGTTAAGCCTTTATGAAATCTTTGATGATCCAAACGATCTATTAGACTGTTGGTACTCTCACTTTATGAAAATTTTGGATAGGCATGCACCTTTAATAAAACGTAGAGTCAGAAATAATAAACTGCCGGGGTGGTTTAATTCTGAAGTACGTTGCTTTAGCCGCAAAAGAGACTTTTTCTTAAAGCAAT